AAATACCTTTTACATAAATACTGTATACAGTAGTTTTACATGTGCTTCTAAAGTTTAATTTAATTTGTCAGCATGTACACTTTTATATGAATGTAACTGAGTAGGTTTGGACTACAGCACTTCTTTCCATACATAGTGTGTGATGTCTTCTCACCCCATTCTGTCTGGTCTCCCAGGATCGCGTCTATGTTCAACAAAACAATGTGGAGAATGTGTACAACCTCGGCCTCATCATATTCAGGGACCAGGTTGTACGCTACGGCTGCATTCGAGACCACCTACGACAGACGTTACTGGACATGATTGCTCGTGAGAGGAAGGGAGAGGTTGTAGACAGGTATGCTGGAGTACTACTTCATTGCTTGATCTAAAGGATCAGTGTGATGTCCCTTATTTTAGTTAAATTAAGAAATTGGGTGACATTCTTCAAGTTTCTTAGATATCTGTCTTGATCTTATATGTTTCACCTTTATTCACAGTCATGCATTTACTTTTTGTTGCTCATGTTTTTAGTAGTTCTTAATATTGCAGTTTATTATTTTGCTTTTTAATAATTGCTGATATAGAATCTTAATTTTTTTTTTTTATCAATCATTGCAGGGGGGCCATCAGAAACGCCTGCCAGATGCTGATGATTCTTGGCCTGGATGGCCGGTCTGTATATGAGGAGGACTTTGAGGGCCCTTTCTTAGATATGTCAGCGGAATTCTTCCAGGTACGTTTGTGGAAGATATATATAACAACATACACTATAAATCTTTGTAATAAAACACACTATCTGCTCTTTCAGATGGAGAGCCAAAAGTTCCTAGCAGAAAACAGTGCCAGTGTCTATATTAAGAAGGTAGAGGCCAGAATCAACGAAGAGATTGAGCGAGTCATGCACTGCCTGGACAAGACTACGGAGGAGCCCATTGTCAAGGTGGTGGAAAGGGAGCTCATTTCCAAACACATGAAGACCATTGTTGAGATGGAGAACTCTGGCCTCGTCCATATGCTCAAGAACGGCAAGACAGAAGGTAAAAACTTTGCCTAACTGATTTCTCTCTTTTCAGTAATTACGGTTTTGAACTAAAAGGAATTTCAGAGCAACCAATTTGTTATATTTTTTCAGCCTTTGTTACTCATTCTTTTTTCCCACCATGTCTCCCTCTTAGACCTCGCATGCATGTACAAGCTGTTCAGTCGTGTGCCAAATGGCCTGAAAACGATGTGCGAGTGCATGAGCTCTTACTTGAGGGAGCAAGGTAAAGCTCTGGTGTCAGAAGAAGGAGAGGGCAAGAACCCTGTCGACTATATTCAGGTATGCTGGTTGAGCAAGGAGTCCAAAAACACAATCTCGTGTCTCAAGACTTAGACACTTTGAGAGCCTTGCTTGATATTGGAAGTGTGAGAGAAATGTGTCGTTATAGATTGTGTCACCTCTTTGCAATTGCATCTTTAACAGGGCCTGCTAGACCTGAAGACACGATTTGATCGCTTCCTTCTTGAGTCCTTCAACAATGACAGACTCTTCAAACAAACCATAGCAGGAGACTTTGAGTATTTCCTTAACCTCAACTCCCGCTCACCAGAGTACCTATCACTCTTTATTGATGACAAGCTTAAGAAGGGTGTCAAAGGGGTAAGGAGGTTCTTTTCAGAAAATATTTCTACATTTTTATCATCTGCAAAATGTTTTATTTATTTATCTATTTTTTGCATGTTATTAACCACTTTCTTTTTCTCTCCCTGTCTCATCGAGCAGTTGACAGAACAGGAGGTGGAGTCGATCCTTGACAAAGCCATGGTGTTATTCAGGTTTATGCAGGAGAAGGATGTGTTTGAAAGGTACTACAAGCAGCATTTGGGCCGCAGGCTGCTCAGCAACAAGAGTGTCTCAGACGACTCAGAGAAGAACATGATCTCTAAGCTCAAGGTAAAAGAGTGAGAAGCTTCTGGATTAGAGTTCGTAACATCCTCCGATACTGCCTAAAACGCAATATATCGGCGAGTATGAGAGTCTGCACTGATACTGGAATCAGTATGGAGATAGAAAAAAATGGTATTGGAACATTCTGGATACAGATGTGTACACATATGCCTTGTACTGTTTCTCTTTGTTTCTTCTTCTCTGCTCATGTTGCCCTGCCGTCACCCTGTCACCATAAATCTGTCTTTCTCCCTCACAGACAGAATGTGGCTGTCAGTTTACCTCAAAACTGGAAGGGATGTTCAGAGATATGAGCATCTCCAACACTACCATGGATGAGTTCAGGCAACACATACAGACTACGTCGGTAAGACAGTCAGCGCCATTTAAGAAAAACTAAACATTAATAAGACATAAAACCAATGTTTGCCACTAGATTGGAAGTGAGTCTGTTAAAATGTTACTGAGTGTAAACTTGTATACATCTCTTTAAGGCATCTCTAAGTGGTGTGGACCTCACAGTAAGAGTCCTCACTACTGGCTACTGGCCTACACAGTCGGCAACACCTAAATGCACCATCCCCCCAGCTCCCAGACACGCCTTTGAAGTCTTTAGAAGGTAATGCTCTCAAATTCACTCTGATGTTTTACTGTATATACGGAGGCTCAAAGTGGTTCTGTGCGGTTTCTAAAGAACTCGGTCCTGGCTTTTATTTTCCAGGTTTTACCTCGCTAAGCACAGTGGTAGACAGCTCACACTGCAACACCACATGGGCGGGGCAGACCTAAATGCAACTTTCTACGGAACTATTAAAAAGGTAGACCCAAAAATACTTTAATTGCTTTATTTTTTTTTAAATTGTAAGCCACATAATTCAGTATACAATGGTATCATCGTTTATAAATTCACCTTCCCTTCTACCTAATCTGCAGGAGGATGGTTCAGAAGTAGGTGTGGGAGGTGCTCAGGTAACAGGTTCTAACACCCGGAAGCACATACTGCAGGTCTCCACCTTCCAGATGACCATCCTCATGCTCTTCAATAACAGAGAGAAGTGCACTTTTGAGGTGGGGGCACAGTGAAGCGTTATTAACCGTTATCTATAATAATCGTATTCATTCTTTGTTGTCTTGGTACAGGTTTGTTGTTTTTTACAACCTTATTTCCCTATTTGTCCCCATGTATAGGAGATCCAGCAGGAAACAGATATTCCTGAGAGGGAGTTAGTGCGAGCGCTGCAGTCTTTGGCCTGTGGGAAGCCGACACAGAGAGTTCTCACCAAGGAACCAAAGTCCAAGGAGATTGAGAGCGGCCACGTGTTTACAGTCAATGATCAGTTTACTTCTAAACTGCACAGAGTCAAAATACAGACAGGTGGGGAAAGTTTGTTTACAACATATACTGTATCTACAAAGAGCTCAAGTCTCACCTCACATCTGGGCCAGTTGTCCACTACTGTCTGTTGCATAATGTATTTGTGGTTACAAGGGTTTATTTCATGGCACTCTTCCTTTCTCCTAATATGAAACAGTCCCTTGAGAGATTTCCTACATTTTCTCTTTAAACCTCATCTTGTCCCTGTATCCTACTTTCCCAGTTGCTGCTAAACAAGGGGAATCAGACCCCGAAAGGAAAGAGACGCGGCAGAAAGTGGATGATGACAGGAAGCATGAGATTGAGGCAGCCATTGTCCGAATCATGAAGTCAAGGAAGAAGATGCAGCACAACGTCCTGGTGGCAGAGGTAAGGGACCCACATGAGAATACAAATTATGTTTTGCTTTAACAATGGACAATTTTATCCAGTAATTTTTAATCTTCTCTACGTCTTGACCCCATAATTTCATAATATTAAATTGTGCGTGAGATGTCCTGCAGAGAAATGTAACTTAAAAGGTGTCTCTTTCTGTTTTTCTTCCACTTTGTGTCTTCAGGTAACTCAGCAGCTCCGGGCACGTTTTCTTCCCAGCCCTGTGGTAATCAAAAAGCGTATAGAAGGACTAATAGAAAGAGAATACTTGGCGAGAACGCCAGAAGACCGTAAAGTGTACACCTACGTTGCGTAGAAGATGAACTGTGGATGACGAGAGGAAGAGACTGGACGAGGAGGATGGAATTGTTTGTTTTCTTTGGACTGTTGTTACGCATGGACTGGAAGTTTCTTTTAAAGACAAATGCTGGGAACCTGATTCATCGTCCCTTACAAAAACACAGTAAACACACGTAAATGGGGAATAAAATGTTGCCGCAGAAAAAATAATCCATCAAAACTTGTAGATGATTTTTAAATCAGGCCCAGTCTTCCTATTCCCTGTGAGTTTTAACATGGATGGATCCAGCTTCAAGCTTTTCACTGTTTTACCCTTGTAGAGATCAAACTTGCAAAGAATCCCTTGGGAAAAATGTGAATGCACCACATTATTTTTTTGTTTCAATACTGTATAAAAATAATAAAATTATTAAAAACAGCAAATGTGGATTGTTACAAAACAAAATAAAAATAATGAGTATTGATGCTCTGTAGTTTTTCACAGAAATACTTAGCTCATCTTCTACATTTGACTAACAAATTTACCTCCGTCCTTTCACATTGCAGTCGGTATGAAAGCAGGACTATTATATTAAGGAAATTATTATTACTTCCATTAGACTGAGCTTTTAATGAACCACTATAATTACCACTTAATGAAAATGTCTAACCACCTCAGCGGTGGAGCAGTATGTACTACATATCTAATATGTGAGCACTTACTGCAGACCACTGCGCAAACACTGATACACTTCTCCATGTGTGAGCCTCAAGTCAAAAATCCAAATCACATCCAGCAGATAACCCAGTGAAACCCCTTTTATCATTTAGGTAATAGACGGGCACGTTGTTTCACATGCATTCAATAGTTGCTAATGAGATATTCAATCCAAACCAATTCACTCTTTAAATCAATAGCCCAGAAATAAATCCAGTGACAATCAGCAATGCACTGTCCTGAAAATATGTGTCTTTATAATTAATGGATAGAATTAGGAGCTAAATTAGACAAGGCAGAATATGACAAATGTGCCAGCTGTTTCAGTAATAGATCTTTAATGGGTCAACGACGCACCATGTAACATTAAATTACAATTCAGACAAATTGAGGTTTGGAAGGACTGTTGAGCTCTGCATCAGGTTGCGACTGAATGACTCCAGCAAGAGTCTCCAGTTGAGCCATGAAACTCTGAATCTCTTCAGCAGAACTGCGAGTCCAGGCCAGAGGCAGGTGGGCAGGAACAGGACTACGATCTGCAACACAAAACAGTCACTGTCAGAACGAGTGATTCCAGATGATCATGATGACTGAATTCCACTATGGAGATAGAAAAAGAAATGAGAGTAACATCTCTGTATGTGTAGTGAAAGAACTTGTCAGGCTTTGTGATTCTCACCTTGAAAGAACTTCCCGCTGCTTGTTCTGGCAGCAGCTCTCGACAAAGCCAACCACACAACAGTGTCAGCTCCTTGCTCTACACTGCGCAGCCTCTCCCCCATCATATGGTGGAAGTGAGGCATTGATTTAGAAACAGCTGGAAAGAAATCAGCCAGAGTTGTATTTTTAAAAGTAGGTCCTCACTGAAATTTCTCACAATAAAACTATCCCCTTTAAATTGTTTAGATGCTCATAATAATCTAATGAATGCTCAATTTATTTCAACACTTACATTTATTTAAACTATGAACATTTGTTTAAATAAATAAAGCCTCACCCTGTGCTCACAGCTTAAAATCACAGCTATTAGTTAAATATTTGTTTAGATATGAAGGCAGATGTTTACATAACTGTTTGTGGTCACAGATTTTGTGTGTTTTGGACTCGAATTTTGATGCATTTTCAAAGCAATGAAATAGATTAAGATGGTGGACAGCCATTTTGTTTTGTTTTTTAAAAAAGGAAAACCATTTACTGATCCTTTTTTTTAATTATTATTATGAAACTGTCACCTGTAGAGAACTTGTAAACTCACATCACTCCCTGCAGTAGTTAGTATCTGGTGAATTTTGGTTTGGTTACTTTTTAATGAATTTTCAGAGTTTTGATCTTTGAACATTTGCTATAGCACCACCATCAGGAGAATTGTCAGTATACTATTTGATGGACAGGATGGATGTGCAATTGCAGTGCATGTGCCATTTTCTGTTCATTGACGTGCAGCAACAATAGCTTTCCCTCTGGGAGAGTTGTATAATGAGTGAGTACCTGGTGTGTCTACCCAGCCTGGATGCATCGAAGAAAAGTGAATGACTGGGTTGGCTTTGGCCCACTGTTGTGTCAGCACCACCTGCTGCCTCTGAGAGGGAACAGCACATAGTTACCTCTACAGCATTCACTACCTCTGTAAGTTCCTGTTCTCTCTCCATTACTATTTTATGTCTTTTTTCCTCTGTTCCACATTACACAGACAAATCCGAACCCTGAGAGACAGACAAAGTTGAGAAATATTAATAAGTAAAAGTAGAAATACTACAGTGTTAAAAGTACAAGTAAAGGTCCTGCAAAATACATAGAAAAACATCTCTGCACACCACACATGATGTTTGTGATGTTTCAGTTTGCTCTCAAATTAACTGGATGTTGCTTAATATTTATTGGCATTACTGTATTGATTAATTTTAGCATTTTTTTTGTGACATGCTTTGAGTGGCTGAAGGTAATCACCTGTCAAACTGATCACTGATTAGACGACTGAACGATTGAGGCAGCTCCTATATGTGCTCCTATATTAACAGCATATGAAAGGGTTGCCATGCTGCCTATATACAGACCAAAATGTTGTAAATAATGAAATAAAGGCATGAAAAGGCCAAATAAATAACTTTAAAAAAATAAAAAAATAAAATAAAATAAAAAAAATAATGAAATATTTGTTCAGCTGTGAGCGTGCAGGAGTCTTTCCTCATTGTTAACAAGTAGAAGTCCTGCATTCAATATCTTAAGCAAAAGTAAAAAAAATATATATATATATTCATTATGATCTTTATGGTGGGGCTAGTGGTAGCTTTACCCATGATAATATATGATCATTTATTGTTAGATTTATATTTTGTATTAATAATAATTAATCTAAAAGCTATCAAATAAAATGTAATTTTCCTCCTAAATGTAGTGGCGTAGAAGTGTAAAGTAAAAGTGGAAATATTCAAGTACAAGTAAATCCAAATTGTACTTTAAGTAGAGCACTTAAAGACGTAAAGGTATCTAGTCTGCATTTCACCCTCGCTTGGTTTATAACCTGAATTACTACCTTGTTCTGGGCATAGACCATGACACCATCAAAGTAGCCCCTCTCTGACTGCAAGTCATCTACTCTGAGTTTCTGGACCAGCATTCCTCCTGAGGACACAATGATCTAACAGTCAGGGAGAAAAGAGGCACAGTGTGCTTAGACAACAGCCACTACAGCATGGACAGAAGTAGCATTATGCTGTCCACATGATACAAATGAACACTGAGTTTGTGTGTATCTGTGTGTGTGCTGTGTGTGTGTGTAGTGTGTGTGTGTGTGTGTGTGCTGTGTGTGTGTGTGTGTGTGTTCATACCACCCTGGGATCCCGGCTCTTCTGGAGAAGCGGTATGAGACTCTGGGTGAGGATGTACACCCCTAAAGAGATGGAGTCACAAATGTTAAAACTGTTATCTGTGCAGCAGCATGGCGCTGTTCGGCCATCAGAGTGAGGTCTCACCCATAGTGTTGGTGGCAAAGTTCTTCTCCAGTCCCTCTGCATTGAGCTCCCTCTTGTGCACCATACACCCTGCATTGTTTATCTATCATGAAAAAAAGATAAAGAAGTCAGACCCGTCAGATCAAATCAATCTGATCTGAGTTGTGATGAAGATTAAAGGAAAGAGGCAATGCCTACCAACACATTCAAGGATGGATACTGCTTCTTGAAGGCCTCTGCAAACTCCCAGACTTTGAGTGTCTCTGACATGTCCACGATATGGATGTGTACCTCCTACAATAACCAGATAGGTATCAGTCTCACTCACACAAATAATGGGATTTGTCACGTCTTTTTCCATTAAATGTTAGGCACGCTCAAGGCAAACAACACTCACCGTATTCCCAGACTCATTGACAATGTCCATCCGGGCCTCTTCTGCTTTATCTTTGTTCCTACACACCATGTGGACTGTCCCACCTCGGGAGCAAAAACAAATTTATTTTATATCAATATAAAGTGCACAACATTGAACATACCTCTCTGGCATTTACCTTTTTTGGCTATAGCCATGGCTGTGGCTCTGCCAATGCCACTGTTGGCTCCAGTGATCATAAAAGACCTCCCCACAACAGACACGTCCAGGTCTTGGGGGTCAAAGCCTTTAGATGCTTCCTCATATCCCTTCCTAAAGCAAAAAAACCCAAAAAAACAGCATCACAAGATTGACAATCTGCAATATCCCTCCACATTTTAGCTTTGGTTGAGTCAGGTGATGTGAATGTTACCCTCAAGGCACATCAGCTGTCAATGGAACTATTGTAATTGTACATAAAGGCCAGTTTGTGTGGTGATGTGTGCCATACAGTGACCAGACCTTTGATATTCCTATGTTTAGCAGTCTTTGAGCTTAAAGAAATATTATATATAATATAAATAAGAATACATTTGACAGACCAATACATACCACATTCAGACAGACAGAACCATTTAGACGATACATACACTGACTGGAATTCACAGAGCAGTTTCTTTACCTTTATCTCTGCATGAGCTCCAGAGTAAGAAGTGATGACTGACCTTGTATATTGGTGGATTCCATTTAAAAACCAGACGGCATTTCGGTACAGAGACATGGCATCGAGTGAATAACAATCCCCAAACAGTGCAACAGCTTGCCAGTCCCCTCGTCAACCACTGTGACGGACCAGTATCACATGAAAGCAGGCAGAGAGGGAGCGCTTGCTGCTCTCTGCCGACGCTGTGTGGGAATAACACTTTTGAGACACCCTGACGGTCAAGTGATCTCAGTTCAACTTTTATCTGCTCATTCATTAAAATGCTTCGTTCACGTCACGCGGTCGCTCTGTAAAAGGTTGTGACGGGCTGCTGGCAGGGTGCGTCCCTGTAACACAAAAAACTACAATAACCAATCCAGATGGTTGTGAGATGTGGTGACGCGTCCGGCAGGCACCGCTCACCCCGCCGACACAGGCGGCCAGGTGGGCGGAGTTAACCAACTTTCACACTGGCTCTTGGGTGGACGACGGATAGACGGACAGATATGTGCTCAGACGGACAAGTTGACCCTTTGTGAGGGTTTTTTTTATTTTATCTTTTGGTGTTTAAAGTTCTTGGCGTCAAAAAAATGGTAAGTGTTTGTTTTCTACGCTGTAAGATAGCATCAGCCTCCCGCGACCGTTCACCTGTCGCACCTGTTGTCGCTGACAGGTAGCTAAAGCTAAAAACTACACCTCTGCACCACTTCCTCTCTCACCGAGGCCTCGTTCTTTGTGTCAGTCCGCCCAGCAGCAGAAGCTGTATTCGCTTTCTTATGAGAGTTTTCATGTCTGCTTTATTTTATTTCCAGCGACAGTCGGAAGTAAGGTGCGTTTCCTCAACCGGTCCCCTCAGCAGAACAGGTTTAGTCACTTTGCGTCGAGTTCGTCCTGCCCTGGTGGCAGTTGAGTGCTTTCCATAACAATTTGCCTATGGCTGACACTGGGGATACCAGTATAAGATATTCCTTTAATAGTCCCACAGTGGGGAAATTCCAAAGTAGGCTACTGGTCGAAGTCCTGCTGTTTTACTAGTATAATGTGGTTTTTATAATCCTGATAACGTTTCTCTGTCCACTATACAGTGAAATGCAGCTGTGTTCTCATTTTGTTGAAACCAACTGAAGACTGACATCTTCCTTACCTTTCCTTACAAAGTTAAAGAAACATTTTTACAGGCAGTACAACAATGTCCCACATTGTTTCTCCAATAAGTCATTGAATTTATAGGTTTTTTTAAGTGAAATATCAAAATCCAAAAAGCCATTTATCATGGCTGCAGCATAACAACAAATTACAGGAATGTAATTAACCCTGGCTTGGCTCTTTTTGGGGGGATTTTAGTGGGTTTGAACACTGAACCACCTGAATTTCAGAGGTGATGTGTGGGTTTGTGAGGGTTGAAGGGGATTTTTGCCAAGTCAGCACAATTAATCGAAATATTATTGAAACCCCACTATCAATATCGCGATAAGTGCGATATCCAGTGCGCAGAAGCTTGTTCTCTAGATGTAAGAACATATTTTAAGTAAAATTTTCAATTGTGATGCAAAAATGACCCTTCCCACTAATCCCGAATCACATCGCAATCCCATTATCTGTCCCAATGAATGCAATATTATTTTATTATCGTATTCTGCAGCCCTAATTTTGGCACAGACCTTGAAGTCAAGTCACTTTTCTTTCAGCCCCATATCCTGAATTTCACTTAGAGGCGACACCCACCAGACACCCACTGTCTGTAGACTGTGACTCCATGTAAGGACAAACTCTACAAAGAGACAGTCCGTTCACCCCTGTCAACAATCAGAGGAAGACATAAAGGAAACAGTGTGTCAGTGCGGTTCCGATAGAGGTGTGGGGACAATTAATTTCCACTTTGATATGCAGCCAAGTCCATTCCCAGTGCTAAGACACGTCCCAAAACCCTTTGCTCTCTTGAAGACTGGAAAAGAACCTCTTCCTCAATCGTGTGTTGACCTTCACTATCCTGCCCGTCAGTCATTCTCCCCCCCCCCCTGTTTGGTCCGTGGAGTTACTCTTTAATGAGCCGTGACACCGGTGAACCACTCGGGTGACCCTTTGTGTTAGAGGGTAGTTAATAATGTCCTCTGCAGTGGTGCGGACATGTGTGTTCGTGCCACTCTGACCTGGCTGCTGTTTCTGTGTGCGGTCAGATGCGCTTCCTGCTGCTCTTCAGCCGCCAGGGCAAGCTACGTCTGCAGAAGTGGTTCACGCCCATATCGGAACGCGAGAAGAAGAAGATCATCAGGGACATGACCGCCATGGTGTTGGCACGGCAACCACGTTCCTGTAACTTCCTGCACTGGAAAGACCTGAAGATTATTTACAAGAGGTGGGCTGCGTGTTTGTTTTGAATTGCTTTATCTTCTCATAGTTACACCTGCTGTGTATGTCCGTTATCACTCCTCTATCACTGTGTCACCTTTTCCTCAGGTATGCAAGCTTGTATTTCTGCCTGGCCATAGAGAACCAGGAGAATGAGCTGCTAGCCCTGGAGGTTATTCATCGCTATGTGGAGCTGCTGGACAAATACTTTGGCAATGTATTTTATTGTGTTTCTCTCTTTTTTTGAAAAGAAAAATTCAATATTCAACTGTAGCCTGAAGTGTAACTGTTGACGCATGATTGTAGCTAAGCCACGCACAATGCACGACCATAACTCATAATTGATACCGATGCCCGTAAGATAACCGATCAATTCACACTTTTGTGTTTTAAAAATAAGATCATATCCAGTAGTTTATGCGCACCTGAGGACAATAAAGGCAATGGAACTATTGATGTAGTGAGCAAAGATGGATGCTTCAATATTCCATAGCTCTGATCAAACCACATCTGACAGCTGACACCACTATTAACAGGACAAAAACAAAGAACAGTTCTGTAAATGTTCATTTATTTTTTTCTAGTTGGGTACAAAAGAACATAAACATACTCTTGCTTTCATAGAGCATTCATACATACATACATACATACATATCAAATGTTTTGCATAAGAACCCAAAATAAATTATTATTACTGACCAATAATTGATCTGCCCTGATATATATTGTGCGTCCCTACATATTAACTGGCAAACTACACTTTACAGATGATTTCAAACAGCAGTTTTAATATCAAAATGTCGTCTTTTATAATAATCACCATCGTGCTTCCTCTCAGGTGTGTGAGCTGGACATAATCTTTAACTTTGAGAAGGCCTATTTTATCCTGGACGAGTTTCTAATGGGAGGCGAAATACAAGAAACCTCCAAACAGATGGTGAATCGCTCCATTGAAGCCTCAGACATGTTACAGGAGGTGAGATGCACTGGAACCCTTTCTCATACACACACACATACACAGCACAGGGTGTGGCTTGGATCTGTGCTCCGAGCCATAATCAAAGAAACAGTGACATGTTTTAAATTTGGAGTTTTAAATCTCGCCTGTGGGATACTTAGAAAGGTCCTGAATTCGTTTTTTTTTTTTTTAACATTTGAATGAATCAACACATGAACGCTGTATCAATCAAGCTCCAACATGGAAACTTGTGTCAGTTTATTTGTGTCAGTGTCAAGTAGTCGGTCTCAATGAATTAACAGTGGTGCTGCTGAGTCCCTGGTGTGCCTTGTGTCTTTTGTTGTAGCGAATAGGCTTGTGGATATTGATTTAATATAGATTTGTGTTTGTGTTGCTGTTTTCCTCGCCCCTCTGTCTGTCTGTGTGTGTATCTCTCTCTCTCTCTCTCTCTCTCTCCGCCAGCGTTAGTGCGAGCGAGAGACAGATTTTCCTGGAACGCGGCGTAGTTTTAGTGTTTGGCTCCTGCTTCCCGCTCTCCCTGTAGGTTCGTGGCTCTGTGTGGTACAGTAGTTAACTGGGTGTGTGCTCTGTGCTTCTGAGTAGGGCTGACTAACACTTTTGAATCTAGAGTTGGATTGTGTGCAGTGTAGCCTCCCATTCATTTTGACCATTATCGCTTCAGGATGACAACAGTGATTGGTATGAGGTGGAGCTGTTTGGATGACCTTGAATATGGACAGAAAGGTTAGATGTTCCGCTTGTGTTAGTTACCTACCTTGTGTTGGTGTGCTCAGCATTCAATAGCAGGTGATGTGTAGATGTGTGTCTGTGAACATTAAATGTATTCTAATGCGTTTTTACAAGCTTTACAACCAGAACTTTGCTCCTTTCTGCCTTTTTTACAGACCATGGAGGAGTATATGAGCAAACCTGCATTTTAACCCCATGAGGAAAAAAGGATAACAATGGGGAGGAATATAGGAACCAACAGTACTGTATGTGAGTCAAAGAAGTTTCTGAATATGAAAATGGGATTTGATCCTGTTGAACATTTTCAAAAGAAGAAATGGTCACGTTGAAAGCCTGCTTGCCTTCTGCCTGAAGCATTGCTGCAATGTAACTTCTTTTGAGAGTAAGTTTATTGTTTGTTCATAGTCATGTGCTCAATTGAAGGAAGTCGGGAGGGTTTTATTTACACGCTGTCAGTAAATTCCTATGAAGTAGTAAAGGGGATCGGGGTAATGAAATCATAACCATGGAGTGATTTTAGATTTATACGTCATTTGTATTTAAATCATTTCTTAATATATTGAAAGTGAATGGTTTCATTTTGTAAACGCAACAGATTGATTTAGAAAAAATTGTGCTACTCTCCAGTTTATAGTTCAAAAAACAAACTTCAGCCTCAAAAACATAAACCATATTTATAATTGGTGTAGTTCCGATACGAACCAACTCATTTTGAATGTGACTGATGACAAATGTCCTACTGTTTTGAATCTGTATACAGTAACCTCTTACATGTGTGTGGGACCAAGACTTTACAATGAGCTGTGTGTAGTGTGGGTGTGAGTATCACTGCTTTTTATAATGTGCAATTTATGATGTTTGAGCTTATGATTAAAATATGTATTTTGATAGAAAAAAAGAGTCTCCTTTTGGTAATCATTCTTACAATAATTGTATATTTGATGATTCCTTTGATTTCACCAAACCCCAGTTTAGTGTTTACTAACATGATTAGTAAATTCTGGCTGTCTATAGTATATGGTAGGATTTTTAATAAGGCAACACAACTCCGCAAGAAGAAAAATAATACCGCTGATGCTTTAATTCATCTGTGATTCATCACACATTATTGAACATGTACAAAATGGTTTAAAAATGAGCATACATAGCACAACCACTGGTAGGCCAACAATACAGAGCTTCGCAGTATGAAAGGGTTGGAAGGCAGGCGACGGTCTGATATTTAGACTTGGAAATAATTACCCATAATATTAACATTAAATCCACTTACCCTGAATATATCAAGAGTCACAACAACACTCGTTCTCAGCCCAGCACACTGCCCTAACGAAAACTCCCTATAATATTCCTATAGTACTCCTGTCATTATACTGTACGCTTGTTTTAAAGGCCCAGTCAGCATTATACTTTATAATTTACAGATATATTCACATGTGTAATTGAACAGTTTGACATAGATGAAAAATAAGCATTTTTACCATTACTCAGTTGATTATAATTGAAAATAGAGGCCTGTCTTATGCTGTTTACAAACACCATTAATGTAAACAAACCTTGAACAACATCACAAAACTTGAATAACTTGGATTTCATTCATATTACTCAGTGTTTTTATTGGCAATTTGAGAGTGACAGGTGTTTTGAGGATGCCTTATTTTTCTCTCCTATAGTAACACTATAATATCTCTATAATGTTCTTGCAGCAAGTAGGGACTAGTGTTTCTTTTAAAAATGTACCTGTTAGACTTCTATAGTTCATTTTCGTTAGGGTGATATTAGTACTAATACCAGCTATAGTTCATATAATAGAAATTTGTAAACTAGATCACGTCCACCAAACTTTATTTTTGAGACAGTATAAATACTATATTGATAATTTCGTGCGTCTTGCGGGACATCAGGCTACATCCCAGCCACTGTTTTTTCACGGTGCTCCTTCTCCTCTTCCTCCTTGACGGTCTGTGGAGCCGAGGTCTTGGGCGTTATCTCCTCTTTTCCCTGCATCTCTGTGGGCATAACGTCCTCCTCTGTGGCCACTTCGGTTTCCCTCTTGGCCACTGGCCTCTTTTCAGTGTCCCCTTGCCCCAAGTAGTCCTTCAGGGCCCGCTCGTACAGCTCGTAGGGGAACTGCCCCTTCAGCTGCGCCTGGGTGTCCCGCTTGGTGATGGTGTTGGGGTACTCTGTGAGGATCTTAGCCGCCAGGTAGGTGGTCACCTCGTCTTCCACGTCGCCATCGCCGTCATCTTCATCATCAGCACCGCCATCGGCCTGACGTCTCAGGGGCATTTTGTTGAGCTCGGATAAAAAGAGGTTCTCCCTGCGCCCGGCGGGTTGAGGGATCTTAACCGGACCTGGATTTGCAGCGGGAATGGACGCCACTGGGCTTCTGTCCGAGGAGGGGGCGGTCTTCAGGGGTCTCTGCACCACGGGATACTCGTTACTGATAGTCTCCACGCCGATGATGTCTAAAAAGTCCTCTCGGTCCATGTCTTCCGGGGCAGGCTTGTTCTTGACAGGCAGTCTGCGGCTGAAGTACCTGATCTTGGGGGTCTGGCCGGTCGTGTAGCGAGCCGAGGAATGGGGATCGCGGTGGAGCTTCCTGAGTTCCTCCGTGAGCAGCATATCGATAAGGTCCTGTGGAGGGACGTGGAGCTTCAGGGAGAGCTCCAGCAACTCCTTCACCGTCCGAGGGTCCACGATGGAGGGGCGGATCAGTCTCTTTCTCTGCTCTCCGGTCTTATCCCTCCTCTGCGTCTGGTCGCTCATCTCCAGGACCTTCAACAGGTAGTAATCGACCAGCTTGGTGTCGTCGTTGGCGTCCTCCTGGTTCTGGCTCGCCCTGCGTTGCATCTCCTCCCTCTCTGCTGCTTCCTCCTGCTCACCGAGCGCCCTCTCCATTTCTTCGTGGCTCCTGTTGACCATCTCCTCCGTCTCCTCCCTCTCCTCCACGGGGACCCACTCCTCTCCTCCGGCGACGTCCTCGTAGGCCTGGTTTCTCAGGCTGAATCCGCCCTCCTCGTCGTCGTCGTCGTCCCCGAACACGTCTCTCTTCTGGCCGCCCACCGTGGGCATCCTCCCGAGCTCTTCGAAGATGGAGCGTAAGTTGGCGAGGCTCTGGGGTGTGTACTGCTCGTCCAGGTCCTCCGTGGCCCGCTTGGAAGCGTCTGTGTTCTCCTCATCCTCGAACATCAGCGGGTATTTTTTGTGGGGTCTGGGGAAATTGCCGTAGTCTGACGGTGCGCTCTCGGGGACTTCAGTGTCTTTGGTGCGGTGCCTGTGCGTGCGGCGGTCGTTCCTGGGCGCCGATACGGGGCTGAGCTTTGCCTCTTTCCCGGCCTGATCCTGGAGAGACTTGAGCAGGGCTTTCATCAGCTGCTCAGCGGTAATGTCCTGCCTCTGCACGGCGGGGGAGGGCTGACGCTCCCCGGGACCCTCGTCCTGCTGCGAGGCGAGCTGAAGCAGGACCCTGAACTTGTCCACTTCGTCGTAATCCGCGGGTTCGGGTCGCCCCCCGTTCCGCTGCTTCAGGTTCTCTATGTACTCCAGGGCTTTGATCATGTCGGAGCTGGGTGGGTAGGCAGCCGGCTGCCCCTCGCTCTCCCCGCCTCGGAGCCTGTAGTGGCGGGGGAGAGACGCAGCCTGCACGGCGCATCCGTGGAGGACGAAGGCGAGCAGGACCACGGCTCCCCCCGTGGGCAACTTGTGGTGGAAATGCAGCATTATAGGCTATTTATTACCTGCAAATCAAGAGAATAGAAAATGTTGGTTGATTTCTTTTTAGAAAAATGCTTCACTAAGTCGAGGATTTCTATCTTTAATAACATTTCTTTTGGACAATAGCTTACTCGAAAGCAACGAGCAGAGGCTGATCCAGTCTGTTTTGATCTGGGATTTGGTATGCCTATCAGGGAGTTACGCTCCGCAAATTGAATGATACGATGCTGCGCGTGAGGAGATACATTCACATCACTTGGATGAGTCACTCCCCGCGTTGTTATTGGCAACCTCAACATCCCATTTCCTCCGAACAACATAAACCTTCATTAAAAAGCCTTTCCTTGCTCGTTATTTCACCATAGAAACAACCCATTGTTTAATCCCCCATTGTTGAGGATGCGTTTCACCACGCTCATAACCATTCTTACATAAATATGCGAAAAACGAAAAAAAAACAACGACTGTCCTCCAATCTAAGACACTGGGGTTTTTATTTGAACAAAAAAATAAAAAATAAAGAAACCGTATACGAAAAATAAAATAAAAGAATGTTTGGCTTACCTTTGGCAATAAAGCTCAGACAGCAGTGAAGGTGTATGGCATCTCCTCAGGAGCGGTGCTGTTCTCTTCTGTTTTCAGCACTTGGACAGCTCCCCTCGTTATATGAGGCAACACCTGACCACCACGTCATCACACAACACACGCAATAGCCGGTCCTAAAAATCCATAGAAATGATTCAGGTTTATCATATGGCATACTAAAAGACCTCGCTGTATTAAAAATAGTTCTCCGTGCTGTCTGTTGCTCAGCACCGCTCGGTAAAAAGCTGTTCACTGCAAAAGATCTTTAAAAAGTCTGGGAGCAGATGTGTTGACTTCAGGGCTGCTGCTTCATAAAGAGCGTTATGATTATGCGATATACATATATATATGTGTGTTTATGAGTCTTCACCTTGCATGAATAGGCTGTATTTTATCACAAGGGTTTTATTTCAGAGGGACACTATCCAAAATGTTCATTAATGCATCGTTATGTATGTAGACAGCAACTTTTAAGTGCCAATTTTATGAGATCGTGTCATCTTGAAAATATGTTCCTCGTGTACCAAAAAATAAATAAATAAACGTTTTGTTTCATACTGACGTGTCACAAAGCACACTTTTAATGATTTAGGTGTAAATCAGTATTCAGTTATAGCCTACAATCTCCTCCATCGTGGGAGATGAAGAGTTAAACCCTCTAGCGATGACTCACAGGCTAAAACCACCGCGGAGTTGCTGTCGCAGTTGAGCCCCCCCTCCCTCTCTCCTCTGACAGAGACGGTGATAAACACCCTCCTGTCGGCTGGGGGCCAAAGCTCCGGCATTCCGCAGGTCGACAAGATAAAGGGGCCACAGCACGGCAGCTGCCGATAAAAGGTCAGGGACGGGTGGTGACAAAGTTTACGGCGAGATCAAAAGCCTTTAAACACTTAAAGCACTGCTTTCACCATGCATCATCCGGTGCACATGTGTGCTTATCATCATCATTATCATCATCATATATTTACTTTCACACTTGCTGTAGTATAAGCTGAAGAGCAAATATACATCTCTCCAAAATAAAAGAACAGACTCCGTTACATTTAGACACCCTGTTTATTTGATGTCATTTCTCTGTAGGAAGGTGAAAACGCTGGGGGAAGCATCATCAAGTCATGCTTTTAAAGTAATACAAATATTTTCATTTCATTTAATAGTCACATTCTAGTAGTGTTGAATGATTTTAGTCTTTATTGGTGTCTCCCTACAAGTCCACCATATGGCCACTCAAAAACATAAATTTATGCTCCAGCAACATCTCAAGTCTCCTTTATACCCTCTAAAGTGATTTCGCTCAATGCCCTCTGACACCCCATAGACATAAGTGCTCTTCCATTTCAGCCCTGCTCTGACTGTCTCACTGCCCCCTAAATTGCATTGCACATCTAATTGCATCCAGTGTGCTCCTATTTGTTCCATGTTGTGATCCGTTCACAACCATTAAAACCAGTAAAAGAAATAAAATTACCCATTTAATCTTTTCACTTTAGGCTCCAAGCGCAGACTCTCATCAAATAGAGGCGACAACAACATTGGAGGTGCTTTTTATTTGAATGTGCCGTCAGCTGCCTGCTCT